ACTTGGGGTAGAGGGTATGCTTGTGTTTCCACAGATGAAGGACCGCGCTGGGTACCTGCTCGATGTGTCCGCCCTGTACTGGATGAACCATGCCCACAAGTTACGTGAAGTCCATCTATGGCCACACCTGACAACTGAATGCTACTGCCATGGACTAATAATGAATGCACTGTCTGGGCTGTAACTCTTGCCTGTTCATTTAGTTGTTTTTGTATTATCGATATTGCCGTGGTTTGTCTCCCTTGCAAGGGGCCCCGCAATGGATGACACTCGTTGGCGGTTTCTTTAATACAAAAACAGGGGGAATTGTGGTGGTTCTCCCCCAGCTGGCCTGGAGGATTCGGGAAGAGTTAAAGTTAGCAGGAACCTTTGTTCAGGGGAGAATTACACCCGGACCCGGAAGTTGTAACAATATGGTTTTCCGGTAAAATGTGCTGAACACAGCAAAATGTGTTTCGTGACATGCGCAGTAAGCAGAGTTATATAATACCGTTAGTGGTCAATGGAAGAATATTTATGTATGTGGGAACCAGTGGAGAGTTGACATGTGTAACCTAAAAAGTGTATAAAAGTAGCAGACATCGTGCAATAAAGTGTTCCAGCCTCTGGATCCACAAGGGTTTTGTGTCGTGTCCCGCCTCAACCGCGACACCCTTAGGTAAATAAGGTTTTTGTTTAATAAAGTTTTTGTTGGTTGCATAAAACTCTTAGGTAAATAAGGTTTAAGTAAGAAATAAAGTTACTATGTCAAAAATATTCCGTTAAAAAGTAGTTAAGGATTTTAAAATTGCACTGTTTTATATCTTGTTATTAATAAAAATGGGAGTTGTGGGGTTTCAGGTTACAGGATGAGTGCTGGTAAAGCATCCTGGTAGCTGTAGTTCTTAAATACTCTATCACACATGTGCAGTTAAATGATTGTATAGGATTGGCTGAAAACGTCACGTGTTACCATTTGAAACTACTATATAAGTTTTTTTCTCTTTCAATAAAGCATGTTTTTGCTACACACCACATTGGTGTCTCTCTATGGTCCCTAGGACCCTTTATTTATTATATTAATACTACTGCTACACCTGGATGTACTGGAGAAACCGAAAATGGAGGTCTTCCCTCCCCCACCACTGCGAAAGAGGAGAGAGAGGAGGGAGAGGAAAAAACAGGTCCTTCCCAACGGGAACTCACTCTGTCCTGCTGGCCGAATCGTGTGGTATAGTTTTTCCCTCTCCCTTTGATGTGCACAAGAACTGCTGCCAAGAAAGAAAAGCAGGAATGAAGGAGGGGAAAAACCTCCCGAAACAGTTCCTCTGATGAAAATCCAAGCAGAATCCACAGCTGGCATCCAGGCTGAGAACAAAGCCACCTCAGAGCTCCTACTCCAACCTTGTTCCAGCTCCAGCAGAAAGGAGATGAGAGGAAAAAAAAGTAAAAAAGAACTCCTTACCCCTCCCCAAAGACAAGATCCTCAGGGCCATCAACTAGCAATGTGGTCTTATCAGCCACTTCTTTTGTGTTACTTAACTGCCTAAGCCACAGCCAATCTGCCCCCATTCAACATCCCCTCCACACAGTGGGCAGGGGGAAGGGAAAAATTCCTGCTTAGTTTCTAAGAACCAGCAAAACCATGACAAGCAGCAACCATAAAGATACAAAAGAAATGGTTTACTCACAAAGAGGGGAATCCACTACCCATGTGGTCCCCTGGGAACAAAGGGGTAAAAAAATGGTGGAGGGTTTTCTCTGCCAATCACCTCCCTCTGCCCAACCAAACAAAAGAAACAACAGGGAAACAGAGACAAAGCAAAAACCCAGGAAAACTGTGTTGTTCACAAGGAGTTATACTATTAAACTGCCCACTTTACGGCACCTGGTCAAGCTCAGATCTTGACTAGCAGTGGTGTTAGTTTAGAGCCTCTTTGTTCCCTGCCAAGTGCTGCATCCGGCACTGGCATTGCCCCACTTGGCTTGGCTAAGCTGCAGAGCAGTGGCAGGGGCTCCCTGCATAGGCAGCGGTTTTGTGTGGTGGGAGCAGCAGTGGCATTCCAGTGGCAGTCTAGGTAGTGGTGGCAGCGGTCAAGCAGTGGCAGCAGTCCAGTACGGTGTGTCTTGAGTCAGTTTCACTTTTGTGAAACCCTAACCTTCATCCCTGGATGCGGTAGCAGTCCAGTGGTGGTGGCAGGGGCCCCAGTGAAGGATGGCACCACATGGACTCTCCAGGCACTTGCCCACGTGGTCCGGGGAAGAGAAAAAGTTCTGTTTTCCCTCTTCCCCTCCCCGTGAGGCAAACGGGGTGGGGATGTTGTTCATTCTTAACAAGACAGTCCCTCCAAAACAAAGTTGGAAAAAGGGAATAAAATAAAAACCTTCTGTAACCATGACAAAAAGTTGACTTAATTTCTGAATATGTAACTCATTCAAAAGCAAACCACACACAAAATAGCACCTCTTGCAGCCCAGTTTGAAACAACTTTAAGCAAAGTGTAATTTTTCAAATGCTACACATTTTTCTTAAATCACAATTGATTTGTCAAGAGTGGTAAATATTCCAGAACCAATGATAAAGAAGTCTTCACTTCAACCCTAAAGTTTACTTTCCATGCTTCTGTGCCTTCACTGGATTACCATTATGCCCCAAAGAAAAAAAAATTAAAGCGTTGTTTATTTGTGAGGTGTTGTTCAGAAACTTGTAGATGAAAAACACTTTTACGCAGTGCACTGTATAAAATTGGTGAGATTTGTCAATGTTAAAATTCAGGTGAAGTCATCTTTAAACCTCTCAAGACTCACCTCTATCATACACAGAACAACTGGCAGTTAAAAGTGAGTAGAGAAGCAGCAAATGGTGATAGTGACAGCAAAAAACCTGCTTCTTTCTTTTGCTCTCACATCTCATTCCACCATCATTAATTTAGTATTAGACTCCTGTGAGATTTAAGACAAGTAGGACAGATTGTTAAACATTTAAGGCAAAGATTATCCTGTCTTCCTTACTCAGCAGGACAAAGTTAAACCAAATTTTTCCTTATTGCAATACAGGCTTAAAGCTTCTTGCAAACCTTGATCTGAATTGCCTTAAATACACAATTCCTAGTTCTCAAAATTTTTTGTATGGGATGACTTAGGAGTATTTCTTATCTACATCTAAGACATACTGTCTTCACAAGTTGACAGAGTATACACCTGGAGTCTGACAGCTACTTTTTAGGAGAAAAAACCACTGTACAAAAGCTGAAAAACTAATCATGTAGGGTAGAGTCTCTTGAAGACACTTACCTTACTATAATGCATATTTGAAAGCAAAAAAAAAAAAAATTTCTTTTTAAGCAAAAAGGCAAGATAGTGAAAGCTATGCCAAAGGAAACAAAGCTGGTTAAATTTTCTTTTCCAAAGCTTCAACCTAAATGAGTATGTTAAATAAACATCCAGAGAACAGTCAGTGCTCACTGTGTTAGCAGACACACAGGTCATTTCACCAAATGCATAACAATTATTTACATGCATTTTTATAACGTGTTCTTTACAGTAGCCTTTTGGGAAATATTTCTCATTTGGTTTTGACAAGGGGTTCTACTCAGTCTAACCAATAACAGCTAATAGGAAGAAGGATTGCTGGAAGGTTAGACATTTTAGATACTTTCAAAAAAATATATCAATATTGCATATACTGCATATACTCTTGGAGAAGCATGGGTTAAAACATAACTATATTCATGTAGTCTTGAAGAACACAGCAAATTAGAGGATGGTTTTTGCTTGTAAAAGTTGAAAATAAGCTTACCCAAACCAAAGGTCTTGAAAGAACCTGACTTCCAAAATACTGGTTGTTTTTTCACATATCAATATATAACACGTTTATTCCAGGAAAGAGTCCAGACCTCACACATATGTGTTTTGGAAGAGGAAGGAAAAGGAAAAAGAAAACCAAAACAAAACCAAAACTCCCCACAGAAAAACCCCCTTCACAAACCACTTGTCATGATTGCATGATTATGATCTACAGAAAAAAACCAAAAACTTAATTGACCATATACTCTTTAGTTAAAAAAAAATTAAAAAATATAAATACCAGATCTTGTATATGGTAAAAAGGATATGTCCTAATGTATACTAAACCAAGTAAGCAATTAAACTGAAATTAATTTTTTCTTCCTCTTTTTCTTCCACAAGGGCAATCCTATGGAATAGCTCCTGATTAAATTTTCATTTCCATTATGATACTTTAAAAATCAATTTTATTGCAGCCCAAGCATTGTTCATGTACCTGTCCATAAAATAAACTCCGATATATACACAACACTAAGTTACAGGGCATAAGTTTACAATTTTTGGCAGATTCTGTTTAATAAAATGGAAATTGAATAACTTTAGTACTTGGAAAAAATGAACTTTTTGGTACAAATGTTTTTTGTCTCCCTCTAACTGGTTTAATAAACTAACATTAATGTACAACACCTCACTTTTTTCTCTCATGTTCTGATTCTAGACAGAATTTTTCATATGCTTCTTCAATTTCTGGATCCATCTTGTTATCAAGGTCATTAAAATACCTAAAAAAATAAATAAAAAAACTCATAAACACCAAAATTGTTAAATTTATGTACATATTCTCAGAAACGGTAAATACATGAAATATTTACATAGACATCAAGAATAAAACAGAGCTTATGGGTACTAGGAAAACAAAGAGAAATCCCAAAGTAGCATAGATATGTACAAATTACTACAGCGACAATCAGTATTGTGCAGAGTGGAGACTACCAAAGAGTTTCAAAATCAAGATGGGAAGTGATAGGGATCACTTAACAGCTTTTTTTTCTCCTCGCAGTTACTGGGAAGTAACTTGTGTGTTCCCTGTTTTCTCTAGGTCCAACTGGAGCGTTCATCACCATAAACTAGGACAATGGAGTCGTAGCTTGAACATGATAGTGTATATAATTTTAAACAGCCTTAAAAGAAGTCAGCAGCTATTGACTTTCATAAAGTGTGCATTAGTTTCAGGTGCACCTTCTGTGCTTTAGTTCCAAACAAGGGGGTCAGCATGAGCATTAAAGTCTACATATTTATTTTGTTTGTTCTTCTTTTCCCGCATAAGTGTAGACTTGAGAAGAAACTCAAGAACCCTTCTCCCTGATATCAGTCATGAGAAATTACTGATAGAGGATCAGGATAGATTTCTCTAAGCTTTTCTTAAGCCTTCAAAGAAGGCTCCACAGTCACCTTGCACGGAAGTTGACTCGGTCTTTCACATGTTACTCTTCAGATTTGCTGTGTTTAACTGCTCTCTGCATTCATTTTGCATTTTATTTATTTGTTTTTTCCACAGTATAAGCTCGTTGATTTCTGATGACATCACTAATTTCTCTTCCAAAGTTCCTGTAACTCCCCTTAGCTAGGTGCCATCTAAAAGTTTTCTAATTTACTAACAAAAATATAGATCCAGACCAGCACTCTTATCACACAAACACAACACTGAAAACAATTTTGGGTATCAAACCATGATCTGAAAGTCCTCCTTCAACCAGGTCAGTACAAAGCTCAGAGCAATTTAGTTTAGACTGTATTTCTTTCACTGGTTTCCTATCAAATTCTTATAAACCAGTGTCAGAAAGTGAGACTATATTCCCATCTACTGCTTTCCCTTTTACAATTAATTGAGGGAAAACTACTTATCCTGAGGAGAAAACCTTAACAACCTTCTCCCTTTGAAAGACACTGAAAGTTTTGTAATTATCTCTAGGTAGAATGAATTCAGGTTGCCTCACTACCAACACTTGAAGGTCTGATGCATCATTTTGCTTGCAAATTTATTTTTTCTAAAATGGAGGAGAGAGTATGTTTGCACATGTGAAAAAATATCTGAAATTTATTTGCCCCACTCAGTTTAATAAATATAAAATTTGTTTCAAACTTGTGTGATTGCAAACCAACTTACACCCAAATACATAACTTCCATTGTAGAGTTAAATAATAATTATATTATTAATTTCATTTTTTACAAGATTGGATTCCTAAGTCTGCAGTAAAAATAACTAGTGTTAAGAAAAAAACCCCAAACCCATCCCACAATTATCACTCAAAAAGAGAACATACTGATCTCCAGGTCCTGATAAATCTGTTCCATTTTCTTCATAATCTAGAAACAAATCCTCTCTTTCAAGCAGTTCTTGATATTTTTCTTGGTAATCTGTCATAGTAAAAGTGAGACCAAGTAATATATGTCCTCTAAATTAACATACATCTATACAGTTTGAAAATAGTCTATTTAATGAATCCATAAATGGCATGAAACATGTTATAGAAAAAACTCCCGTTACAGTGTTTTCTTAGGACATCAATCAACTTTTAAGAAGGATACCTATCTTCCCAAAGAAACATAAAGGTAGTCACAGTCATCTTTGCCTCAAATGATGTGCCATGTTGTGCTCAGATTATAGGAAACAAATCAAGGAAGAAACAAACCCTTTTGCTACTAACAATGGACAAACAAAAGAAGATCTGAAGACTTCTGGTTTCCTGGAGAGAACAAGTGCTGAGGACCATGGCACAAATTCTTCTGAACTATATGAACTCAACTGCACATTCCCTATTTCAAACATTCACCTTCTTTTAACACAGAATAAGGCATGTGTTACACGAAGTCAGGAGTTCAGACAATTTTGTCTTTTAAGTAGTATGAGTTTCAGATATTTTAAGAACAGCTTTTTATGTACTTCAACAGGACATAATCTTAATTACAACTTGTTTAAAGACTGAGAAAACAGGTGACGTACCTGGATCTGCTGCAGTGAAAGGAACACCATCAGAAGTGTAAAATGTTGGTTCATTCTAAGAATAAAGTTATACAATAAGTTATATGAGTTCAGAGAGACAGATGTTTGTAGCTTTCAGCAATGTGATTGTCTATGAATTAAACTCACTATAAATTAAGGAACTGAAATGTCAGTACATTCTTACCATAAAATAGTTAGGGTCATTTTCAGGGGTAATTTCTGTATGTGGAGAAGTTCCAAGAACTCTACCCCAGTTACTTGATCGGAGTTCCACTACTTTCAGAAGCATATATTTCACATCCCTGAAATAAACAGAAGTAGCACGAAAGTTAGAATGATTTGTGCTAAACAATAATTGGGCTAATGTTTGGCTAACAGGGGAAGGGGAGGGGAAGGACCTAAACCAAACAAACAGAAAAAACAAACAGAAAATGAACATACACCACTATCTCATTAAGCGGAACATTAATCTCTAGTAAAAGATAAAACACAAAACAAAACCAAAAATGAAAGAACCACTCCCCCCACAATTGAAAATTACTTTTTGCTACATGGAAAATGATCAACATATCACCTTATTTTTCGTAAATGAAAGTTTTTAATTTTGGACATGCTCATTATTCTCAAAGATTTTTAAGGTATTCTGTTTAATATAAAAGCAAAACACTGCAAGCAAATTTATCTTCTTACCTGCTACAGTTTGTATCCAACAGAACATTTTCAATTCTCCAAATAATTTCCTCCATATCATTCTTTCCTTTTTCTTTCCAGGTATCTTCTAAAACTGAGCCTGTCAACTGAAGATAAGGAATTAGGTTTTGTTTGGGGTTTTTTCTCTTTCAAAGTGAATTATAAAAATTTAAAAAACTGTCAAACAGAAGAGATTCTTCAACAATCCATAACATTTAGATACATTATATGACTACCTGAGGGTTGAAGGTCCAAATCTACATCTTTTTGCTGAATGGATTAATAGTTTATTTTAGACTACAGACAGTATGGTAACTCTATGTCCAATGTTTATGTTGCCTAGAATTTCACAGTCACTTCCCTCCTTTCAGTCTTGAAACATGATTTTGAAAAAACTCTCCAGTGATTTAATTACACTGCAAAAAAGTCACGTTACAACAAAATGCATTTTTTTTTAATATTGCGGTGATTTCTTGTAAAAAAGCCTTACATTTCATCATCTTTCTGAAGTTGTGCATCAGGGGGACATGGAGGTTGCATTCTGAATCCTGTTGAAAGGACTAACAGCATTTGTTAGATCTTAATTGCTTTAAATATATGCTATGAAAAAAGAGACCATATTTTTGCAGATGATGCCACAGGCTTACGTCATAATAACAATAGGTTAGTAAGTTTTAGAAAGACTTCAGTCAACGTACCTAGCATCAGACACGTGAGAGAATTTCACCTGGGTATATATAAAGAGGAGCCCCTGGTGGTCTAGTGGTAAAGGCGCCGCGCTATCACCGCGGAGACCCGGGTTCGATTCCCGGTCAGGGCCACTCCCGGGCAGATGGGGCTCGTTAGCCCTTAAAGGCAACCCATCTACGTCCTAAGGACCTCGCTGCCACTGTCCAAGCTCGCTTGGCCCCGGCAGATGAACCTTAGGATTAAAGGGTGGGCTCAGTTCCGCGCACACTGTGTCTCACCTAAAAAATCCAATGCGCAGGCTGGAAGGTGTAAAAACCTTCCCCGGATCTTCGCTCGCGAAGACGGGCCATTATTATATATAAAGAGGAACCAAGAATTATCTGACCAAGCCAACTTGAGTTTTAATACATAAAATCTGTGAGACTGAAGCTGTTGCTGAGAGAGCTTTAGCAGCAGTCTAGAACTGCTATGGATGAAAGCCTTTTCTGTTAAGAATAGGTACTTAACTCATTGTCTAATAATCGCAGAGTAGGAGATGAGTTAAACTAGAAAAAATAATTTTGCCACTATGGTCAAACTTAATAGCAATTCCTAATCTACTCAACATAAATACTATATGATCTAAAAATGCTTGGAATGGCATCTGATGATTTGAAGGAATAAAATGCAAAGACAAAAACAAGCATTTTGGTCAGCACTTGTTTCATACTCCCAGTTTTCTACTGTGGTCCTGCACTGATCCTAGGTAATCATATAACAGCTCCAAGAAGGTTTAATTAAATATATTGCAAAGCAAATAGGTGAAAAACCTGTATCTGTCATTATATTAAATGGAAAGGACAACAGGAGTCATGTATTGCTTCAGTAGTGAATCCAAGTTTTCATGAGGTAGCCCAGTCTAGCTACAAATACACTTTGACATTTGTAGATATTTTGAGATATCAGAACACACTTGCATTAAAAAAACAAACAAACAAAACATCACCCCTCTCCCCCCTCCCCCAACCCACAACAAACAAACAACCCACACCCACCCACAAAATTGACTTTTATTCTGGAATGGACAATGAAGCAAAATAAATATTGTTGTGAATATTCACAGAAATAGTGAGCCCTCCATCTTCTTTGAAGAACAATCAGAAAACACAGTGTGAGACTGAAAGAAATTATCAATGGTTTGAAACAACTAAAGTGTGGGGGGGGGCAGGGCAAGTTCTGCCAAGGTGGGACAGTTCACTGCCCCATATCCCCCTGCCCTGGAGCCTCTAGTCCAGCCCAGAATGGCTATTAGCCATTGGCACACCTAAAACCCCACACCACATCCCCTGGAGGCCCTAACCCAGATCCCAAATGGCTGGCAGACTGGAAGCCCCACCTGGAGGTGGGTGGTCACAGGAGTCCAGAACAAATAAAATCAATACCACGAGGTCCCCCACAGGTCATGGCCCTTTTGTTCTTGGATTTATGGGAGTTGGTTCTATGCTGTGTTATAAGTTAGTATAAGAATTTAGACAACTCAATTCCAATTAAACATTGATAAATTTATTAAGCAAGCGATAATAAAGCAAAACAGCGCTGGGTGGCCTGGAGGGCAAGCGCCCTGCCGAGGTACACACCGAAATGAAGTCAGTGTCTCTTTTTATACACGTTCGTGGTTGTTAAGTACATGTTAAGTGATGTCTGGCATTGGCTTTTCGGATGTAAATTTGTTTGTGGTTTGAGTTTGGTGGCTGGGTAAGTGGTCGTCTGGTATTTGTCAGAGATGAAAAGGTGCAGTTCTTATCAGTTGTTTATTGACACTTGCTTGATTAGTAAGCTGTCTGTGAAACTCCTCTTGTTTAATTACAACAAAAAGTTTCTGACTCCCTCATACACATAAGATTTTATGAACAAAGTTAACCCTTCTATTACATGCTGGATCTAAGGTGGTATCTATAATTCTCTCTCTCTCTCTTTACTTCTTCTCCTAATTTCCTTTTCTTGATTTTTGGGTAACTTAAACCTGGATGCGTTAGAATTTGCTAAGTCAATGCTTTGTGAAATGCTTTATATTGATTGAATGTTTGATTTAAACTTTTGCGAATTTCCCCTATTTTCTAAAATTTGTCAGTATAAGTGTGTTATTTTGACCTCCTGAAAAACGTTATGTTTTTCCCATGCATGGCCTCAGGGTATAAAAGAACCTAAGGCCCCTATGTTAGACACCAGATCAATTATTATTGGGTCAGAACCACCTTGTGGGGAGTGTGTGTGTGTAGGGGGAAGGGATGGGTCAAACTTCATGGAGGTGGGGTGGCATCGTATCCCTCATGGTAGGCCCCTGGACCCCACATGGGGAAGCTCTGGAGTAGCTGTCAATCACAAACAGCCCGGGAAAACTATAACACACCACACCTCCTGCAGCCCCTAACCCAGCCTCAGATTGGAAGGGACAGTGAGAACACTACCCCTCACCCTGGTCTGGAACCCCAGAGTGGCTGGTGGGTCAAAGACCCCACCTGGAGGGGTTTGCCATAGGGAACAGAGCAGATTAAACCATAGGCATGTGTCTGCCTTGTGTCATGGCCCTGCCACTGGACTTGTGAGAGCTGGTCTTCTACAAGGTTTCAGTGGTAGCTATCTCTCCCTCTTTCTCCTTCTTTCTTCTTGCTCCCTCTGCTTCTCTTTCTTTGCTCCTTTCTTGATGCTTAGGGTGGCTTGGAGTTGGAGGGATTGGATCTTGATTTAAGTGTTGTGGATTTGATGGATTTTGACTTAAGGGTTGTGGATTAATAGTATATGCTGACTCAATATTGTGGTGGAACATTTTTGTCTAGCTTGTGTGGTGTCCTTTTGAACTTTGGCCAAGTTCCCTTATTTGCTCCCCTAAATTAATAAAGAAATCCCTTGGGAACAAGCCCATGGCTTATTCTCTTGATGCTATCTCAAGGTAATAAAGAACTCTATATCTATATATTAAAGTAAAACTCCCAGCCAAGCCTGTAAGCAGGCAGCTCCCAGAGCTTGAAGTCTAACATCCTTTAATAAATCTGTTGGGTGGGTTTTGGGGCCTTACCCTTTTGGCGTAAAACCCCTATGATGAGCTCATGGGGCGAGCCTGGGGTCTTACACACAGCAGCACTGATTCCCAATTTGTGTACTGTCTTTTTGAAAGGTCCTTCAGTGGGCCTTGCCCAGGGAAGCACTTTCTAAAGAAGGATTGACTCCAGGAGTGAATATACTCCTTGAACATAACCTCACATTTGTTCTGATGCAATTTTCATAAATACACAAACTTCAAATGAAGGGTTTAAATTGGAGGATGTAAAACTTCTCTTTTCTATTCACCATATCAAAAGAAGTTCTCAGAATTTAAGATAAAATAGTCAGAAGGGGGAAGAATGAAGAAAAACAATCTGACCAACCACAAAAAAACCCAGAATAAAAACTCCATGAAAATACTGGTTAGCTTTTGACCTTCATTCAAAAATTGTTTTCTCAACTATAAAAATGGCTTGGAAAGATAAAATTTCTCCCTGCATAGAGCCTAGTATTTTTTTTCTAAGCAAAACTTAATAGCAAAGAGGTTTGTCTTCATCATGAAAGAGAAATATATTTCTATCGTAGTAATGTTGCAGACAATACAGTAGGAAATAACTATTATAGCAAACCTTTTGCTGAAAAAAACCCACCCAAACAAAAAAAGCCCCTCAAGTGATAAACCCTAACTGCTTCAAATTGATTACAGTTGTCTCCCACACCAGAAGTGGAAAAGGGAGAGCTAAAGGGACTGCTTACTTCTTTGCACCTTGGCTTCAATTCTACAGCTCTTACATGTACACAAACAGACTTCCATTTGACTTTTAGAGTAGTATGCTACTTTTTTTTGTTTGATCAACTTCATAATGGTACTAAGAAAAAAGTACAGCTTGCTCCACTAATCATGTAATGCATAAACCCCCATAAATATTTCCTCATTTACAGTTTTGTTTCCTCCACTGCTCCCAAATGTATGAAGAGACATCCTTGTCTCAAAAAGAAACATAATGCTCCCTACATACTTTTCCTTGTCCAGTAGGGTTTTTTGGTAAAAGAACCAAAACAACACTCTTCCCATTATCCAAAGCCTCTCCATTTTCTCTTCCCAATCTTCAAGTACTTCATTTAAATATGCAAAAATTCTCATCTTTCCAATAAGAAATACTTTCATAAGACACTTTGACCTACACTTAATGTGTTTCAGAAATATAACTCACTGACTTTATGCATTGTTCATTTCACTTTTGAGGCATCCAGTTAAAGCATTCGTAGGGCATGGAAGCATATGAGCTGGACATTCTTGAATGTCAGACACTTGCATAACTCCAATAATTTTCATGCTTATTAAGATACAAAAAACACTCCTTCCCTCCTTTTACCTAATAAATTTTGAATTTCTAATTACCCATAATCAGAAATCTCTCTATATTACTTCATTTAATTAAAGCTGTTAACCCCATGCTGTAGTACTGACCTATAGAAGGAATTGTGTGATGTGACTACCTCTATTAGCCTGGATCTTGAATTTGTGGCCCAGGAATCCACTCTAGCCTGTGGCACAAAGAAGTAGACTTTCATTTGATTTTTTTTTCTTATTTTTTTTCCCCAACAGTTCACCAGTAGGAACTATATATGACCATATCTTCTTTTCCTCACTTTCCACCATCACCTGTCATGTACTCTATTCTTACTTAGATAAAAAAAAATCTCAAGAAGAAAAAACCAAAGTATCTTAGTATTTGTAATTAAAATATATTATGATCTCCATATTATTATATAAAAAAGTAGTGCTTATGAGCTTCCCTCTTTCATTCAGGACTATGATGATATATTAAAAAAACTTAAAAAACTTTTTTTCTTTTTCTTCTTTTAAAACTACTGTCTCACCTTCAGCAGTTTCACTGCACACATCAAATTATTATCCACAGGATTAGAGAAGAGCACATTTAGTAATTCCCGAAGGCCTTCTTGAAGAATTTCTGCTCCTTTAACCTGTCCCTTTGTTCCTTTAATCTGCAAAATATATTTAAAAAAAACAAAACCAAACTACGTTTAAAAGACTTAAGTTTTAGAAATTCATTAAGTCTCATTTTCTCTCTTGAATGCTGTGTGATCTGGTTTGTGATTAACATAGTTGAACTCTTCAGGTGAAAGAACATGTCAAATACTGTAACTATTTCTAGAACACAGAGGAGTATCCTTGCAATTTTGACATATACATAATGATGTCCATATAGTATTTTGTTTCTTTCCTAATAAATTGCTAATAAAAGCTGCAAAATGCCTGGCAAGTAGTCCACATCATTCCAAATTCTCATAATCCCATGCTCTTTCCCATCCTACATTATGCATTCTCTGCAGCTATAGCGTAGCTTACTTCTAGCAGGCACTCTTTATATATTTAAAAATTAGAAAAAATGCTTTAAAAATAAATTATACACCAATTTGAGCAACTTTTGAAATAATTCAGTGAAAAATATATTTTAAGGACACTGCAGCAGTCAGTGAACTTACTGAACTCATGGGTATAAGAGTCAAAGACTTTTATGTGTAGATAAGTTTTTTTGTACATATCAGAAACAAAAAATTTGATCTAAATACAAGATTTCATGCTTCATCCATAAGCCAAAGACTCAAACTTCAGAAGAAATATCTTTCAAGGTCTGCATTTTTAATTGCTCATTTTGAAGATTCCCATGCCTTCCTCGAGCATTTGAGAATAGTTCCTATTAGTGGCTGAATACTGAATTACATGAGTTATTGATACTGATCTGCTTCTATGTTGGCTAAGTGTAGTCATCTGGTGGTTTTACCAGACAAAAGAAAATACCAAAAGCTTAATTCCAAAGGTGGTTTATGGTTGGTTCTTTTTATGAATTCTTACACTTTTTTTTTTAATCTTTATTCATTTCTCTTCTGATGTCCTTTTTTGTTTATCTATTTCTTAGACCCATATTATAATTAAACTGTTCTAAAGTTCTTTGACTTTATTCCCCTTTCCCTTTAAAAAAACAAAAGCAAAAAAACCCCACACCTCAAATGATACTCCATTTTAGTGTTTACCTAAACACAACAAAAATCAATGAAGAACCATCTGACATGCAACTTTCTTCTTACCTCTAGGTTAAGGTAAAGTTCAGCTAAGAACAACACAAAGGCATGAAATTGTTTTCGAGCAGTCTCATCTCCTTTGGCAGCTTCATCTCTATTTTCATACTCTGTTTGACACCTGAAAATGGTAAAACAAAAATCATATAATCTGTAGACAACTCAACATATGCAACATGCTACTTATTTAATGGAATGCTAAGAACTTATTCACTGCATTAGAACTATTAAATGCTGAATACTAGGAAGTCTGATTTGTGAAGGTGGTGAGAGAGCTTTACAAAGACAATGCAGATTTTTGTTCTCCTAGGTGAGCACTGAGATATCTGAGACAGCAAAATTAAATAGAGCAAATTGCAACATGTAAAAATTAAAAGACAATTACACAATTTATATACTAGAATATGGGTCCAGGAAGTTTAACATGGACAGACAAACATCAACAGAAATAAAGTAGGTGTACTCTGAAAGACATTTTCTCCCTTTCAGGGTGCTGCCCACATTGTCTTAGATACCTTTACACTTATTTGATAAATTCTTTATCTTACCATTTTAAGTGACAAAAGTATAATTTAGATATAAATGCAGCAAGGATTAAGATAACATCACACTGAGGTAATTTTTTTAGTATTCAACAACTGTGTTCTTTTAATTTTATCATGCCTTTACTCCTAAACATAGGTGGACTAAGTGAAACTTTTAAAATAAGAAGCAAGTCTGGAGCTTAGAAAGCCAGATTTCACAGAATATTCTGAGTTGGAAGGGACCCACAAGGATCATCGAGTCCAACTGTTAAGTGAATGGGGATTGAACCCACAACCTTGGTGTTATTAGCACCATGCTCTAACCAACTGAGCTCATCTCAGGGTCAGTCAAAAGTCCTTAAAGAAAAAAAGATAATTTTCTAAAGAATTCTGTAGTAATAAAGTGTGCTATTCCTTCAAGTGTCAAACAGTAAGATTTAAAAAGGAAATACATCCATTTAAAAATGTTGCATTTTTGTCAACTATGAAGTCTAATCATTATTAAACCTTAATCCCCCAAATTCTGTAGTAACTGAAAATTGAAGAAATTTATCCTTCTAGATTTTATGCATCTACTTCATAGTTGTAAAGTCAGTTAGCAAACCAACAAATAAACCTTACACAGCAAGTCCAGACAGAAAAGTAAAGAAAAACCACAATGACATAAGCCCTGGAAAGAGCCAAAGGACAAGGACAGTGCATATACACGCATTTAGTATACATTTAAAGTTGACTACCTTTCAAATTTACCCTGTAACTTGGTATTAGTCCAATATACTCAATTCAAAGGAGTCTATAGAACCCCAGAGTCCTATTTTCATATTAAAAATATTAAAATTTTAAAATATATGTGTGAGATATCTAGTATGTACCTGTGCTTTAGTAATCCTCAATCTAAATTTTTATTTTAAATATGCATGCTATGTTAAGAGTTACATATGAAAGAAGAAGACAACCTGAGAAAATAATGGGTTTAAAACAACACACTGATACTAACCTTTGAAGTAACAATTGTCGGAAGTTCCCACTTAGTGGACTAATGGTTAGATGATGAGATAGATAGTTACACAACCGTGCTCCCATGTAGGAAAAATTTGGAACAGTTGTGGCCTTCCAAAATAAAAGTGGAAAAGAAATTATTCATAGAAGTCATGATTAGGTTATCAGGAAATACCTTTACGGGATTTGTGAAAATCTGTGTTTAACAACAGTTGACTAGACAACTGAAGAGCAAAAGATTGATAATTACTATTTCTCATGTTAATTTTTCTATCTCAGCAACACTTTGCTATATGCATTTCATCACTTTGAAGTTCATTATACTGGTTTTGTGGCTTTAAGAAAACAACCAGCATTATGTCATGTGTCCTCAATTCTATTTCTCGATTGTGACCTACACCAAAGAGTATCTGAAAGTCACTTCCAAACTGTTTAGACAGACCCCCCAAAAAAAACCCCAAACCAAGAGTGAACATTAAAACATTTCTTTTAAGGAGAAAAGAGTGTGTTAAAACAAAACAAATAAATAAATAATTAGCCTTCATTCAGTCTAAGAGCTATTTATCCCAGAATCTATTTTTGGTAATAATGAATGCCCAGGGAAAGAGCACAGGAAAACTGCAACTAAAGATAAATACTTTGTCCTGTACATGCTCCAGCAAACTGCAGAATAGCAAACTTCTGATTCAGATATTAAAACTGTATAATTACAGTTAATAGCTATTGATGAGTCCTTTTTTTCTAAAACAAGTCCTATTACTGTTGAACATGATACCTTGGAGTTTTGATGTTTTGATTTTTTTTTTATTTTTGTAGATCTTAGAAGTAGTTATGTAGTAAATGTAGATTTTAGAGTAGCAGCATATTATCCCTTTACCCTTGAACACACCAGCTCAAACCCCTGTTACCCATTCCCATATCAATTCCCTAAATTCCATAGCCTGTTTAGTCTCTTTTTCAAGGTAGAATTGTAGAAGAACACCCTAACCCTACGGAACAAGATATAGCCATAGACCCAACAACCTTCAGGCCTACAATTCTGGAAGGCCTCCAAGGACATTACGTGCTCTGAGGAAGATGAAGAAGAGGGGGTCCCAAAATGCCCCCAGAACCAATTCCCAAGAGGCGTGGCGGGGGCAGAAGCTGGGTGGTAGCTGGACGGGGATTGGGCGAAAATCATTATAAAAACTGTGGACATCTGTATTTCGGGAGCGCGCACGCTGAGGGTATTCCAGAAAGCCTGGGGGCTCATTAAAACTTTTGTATCCTTATCTTATCTCCTACCTAATTTGGCTTGGAGTCTTTTTTTCCCCACAGTCATTTAGGCAACAGTTTTTGGTGACTCCGTACGGGGAATCGAGACCTGTGACTCCTCTGGATCGGTATTCCGTTTTGCAGGGATTTCTCTCCGGCCGGCATATCTTGAAGAATTCCTGTTCTGATCTTGGGGAACCCAGTTTCTCGGAACCGCACGTGGAGGAGGTAAGATAAAGAACAAAACTCCTAGAGAATTTTAATTAGCAACTGCAGGAAGGAGTTTCCCCAGGGCTAGGGAATACGGTGAGGCTGGGAAGGGAAACTTGGACTTGGACCCAAAAGTCAGTGTTTTCCCAGTCTGTTGGCAAAGGGATTTTTGCCGGAGTGGGCAGTGGAACTGCCCGGAAAGTTTAAGTTAGGGCAGGCAGGAGGATTTCGGGTTTCTTGTTGGCCGGGTGTGGCCGGAGAGGGGAAACGCCCCCCACTTGAAAATCTGTGTTTCTGCCTGAACCTGGTAGTGTCTGGATTAGACACAAGGTCTGCGGTGTGTGTGGCTGTGAGTTCTAAGTTAGATCTGTCGTTTTCCTCGTGTGTTGTTTGTTAACATGGGATGTACACAAGCTAAAGAGGAAATTCCAGAGGGAACCCCTCTCGCTTTGGTTTTACGGTATTGGGATGATTTAACTGGCCCTGAGACATCTTTAAAAAGGCGGGAAGTAGTTAGACTCTCTATGGATGTTTGGCCCTATACCGGGAAAATTAGAGGAATAGCCTGGCCGAAATTTGGCTCTTTTGAGGCAAATACAGTGTTTCATCTTATGACAATCCTTCATAAGGAGAAAATGTGGTCTGAGTTGCATTATGCAGAGTTAATCTACCTTTTCTTAACCCGTCCAAAATTGAGAAAGGCATAAAAAAAGGACAAAGTTAAAATAGAAGCAGAACTCACAGAAATGATATTAGAGGAGAAAAAGAAAAAGAAAAATCGTGCTAAGCATGATTCTGAGGAGGAAACTAATCTTGAAAGCCCTGGAGATGAAAATCTGGACCTTTTAATTCCCCCAAATATGAGAATAGGAAGCGCACCCCCCCCCTTTGGCTCAGGCTGCGGGCGCGGCGGGCGTAGGTCCATCAGGAGCGGGGGTAGCCCCTGGGGTGAGTCCTGCCGGCTCGGCAGGGCCAGCTGGACCTGCGGTGCCGGGTCCAGTTGCTTCGGGGGCCCCGGGGGCAACGACGGGACAAGCTGGGACTGCTCCGGCCGGAGCGGGGGTCCCGGGAACTGCTGTTGGTACTCCGGAACCCGCGGGGCAGGGGCCGGCTGCTCCGGCCGACGCGGGAGCGGCGGCGGTCTCTGCCCGGGCTGCGCCGGGAACTCCGGCACTGGCAGGACCGGCGCCGACCCCTCCCGGAGCAGCCGAACTGGCCCCTCCCGAGACCGCGGGGCCGGTCCTGTCTGAAGCTGCGAGCTCCCTGGGTGTCGGTGATCGGGGAGCGATGGCCCCTCCCGAGGCTGTGGGGCTGATCCCGTCTGGAGCTACGAGCTCTGCCAGTGTCGGGGTGGGGGCGATAGCCACCCCCTGGACTGCGGGGCCGTTCCTGGTGGGGGCTGCAGGCCCTTTTGGTTACGGGGGGGCGGTAGCGCCTCCCTGGACTGTGGGGCCAGTCCTGGCTGGAGCCGCGGGCTCTGCCGGTAGCGGCGGGGGGGCGGTGGCCCCCGCCGGAGCTGCTACAGGCAGCGCGGGCTCAGTTGCTGTGGGAACAGAAGACTCAGACCTCAAGGCTGCGGGAGGAGGAGCGGGGGCGGTGTCTGCAGCCGGGGTCCCTGCCCCGGCTGAAACGGGATCCTCCAGCTCTGCCACGAGGGGAGGGGACGAACCCACCCCCATCCCTTCGGCACCACCCTATCCTACGAGGGAAGGGGGGAACCAAGGTTGAGAATTACAGCATCGGAAGAGGAGCAGATTAAAGTTTACTGATACAGGCACAGAAGTTTCTAATGATATGTTCTTAATTAAATTCTGTAAAGGGGAGAGAATAAAAGTTATCATCCCTAACATGAAATATATCGAGGCAGCTACCTTTTTCATACAGGAGAACCACGGAGAGATCCCCGCAGAGGTTGAGAATGCTGTGATCCCTTTAATGTGGACTAACAAATATCCTGGGAAGTCCAAGCGAGCAGAACCCGTAAGCATCACGCTCAAGCCAGAAACAACACCGGCTCTAATCTACCTTTCCAAATCCTACTGACTTCCCTCACTGCTGTCAAAGTTACTGACAAAGGACCCTAGTTTCATTACTCCAGAGTGAAGAAAGCTTCAATTCCTGGAACTATCAGCAAATCGGAACCCAACTCAGAGGAAGAGGATGTGGCATAGACTGTTTCTGCTGTGCATATTATTTGTACAGTCGGTAACTATGAATTAAGTTTGGAGCCAAATTTACATTTGGCTTTAGTAAAATGCACTTAATGTTCTTTGTGAAAGTGAGTGCTGAATTTGCACTATGAATTTGGCTGCAATTTGGAACCAAACCAAAATTCTACATCAGGTATCTCTGGACAATGTCTCACTGGGTTTGGGAGACACTCTCCACAAACTTACTTCATGGTTACCAAACTGGACCTGGATTAAACAACTGTTTCTATTGGTAATGTACATAGTTAGTGTTTGTGTAATAGTTTATTGTATGAACCAATGCTGTAGATGTTGGTCATCTTTTTGGAAAATGATTAGATGTAAGTAGTAGAGATTGGACAAAATTTTTGAGTTTTGTCCAGTCTCTAAAGGGGGGACTGATACCTTGGAGTTTTGATGTTTTGATTTTTTTTTTATTTTTGTAGACCTTAGAAGTAGTTATGTAGTAAATGTAGATTTTAGAGTAGCAGCAATATTATCCCTTTACCCTTGAACACACCAGCTCAAACCCCTGTTACCCATTCCCATATCAATTCCCTAAATTCCATAGCCTGTTTAGTCTCTTTTTCAAGGTAGAATTGTAGAAGAACACCCTAACCCTACGGAACAAGATATAGCCATAGACCCAACAACCTTCAGGCCTACAATTCTGGAAGGCCTCCAAGGACATTACGTGCTCTGAGGAAGATGAAGAAGAGGGGGTCCCAAAATGCCCCCAGAACCAATTCCCAAGAGGCGTGGCGGGGGCAGAAGCTGGGTGGTAGCTGGACGGGGATTGGGTGAAAATCATTATAAAAACTGTGGACATCTGTATTTCGGGAGCAAGCGCTGAGGGTATTCCAGAAAGCCTGGGGGCTCATTAAAGCTTTTGTATCCTTATCTCCTACCTAATTTGGCTTGGAGTCTTTTTTTCCCCACAGTCATTTAGGCAACAAACATTTACACTTTTATAATCTAAAACCAGGTGGTGTCAACTAAATTCCACAACATAAGTTGTACACTGTCTGAAAAATATTTTGCTTTGCAACTGGTACTTGAAAATTCCAAGAGGTGATAAAAGTAATTGGGAATCCATTAGTGTTTACATTCAACCTCTCTTAGAACTTAAATCAGAACATTCCCTTATTTTGGTAATTTATTACTGCTCATTTGTTTTGAACTCTCTTCTAACAAGAATTTGATATTATTTCTCAGATACAGTTTCACTGAAAAGAGTCTCTGGTCTAAGTAACTTAAACAGTTCTGTCAACCCCCCCCCCCTCATGGATAAGAATTCATTAAACTTCTCCTTTGGCTTTATCATCTTTAAACATTCCTTTTACATCTTGATCATCTATCAGTGCTATAAATGTGCTTGCATGCTTCTGCTTCTAATATGTTTGAAAAAATCATGTTGCCATTAGCGTGTCAATGCATTATAGCTAGTTACCTTCTACAGGCAGAGGAAAATATACACTCAACATAAGTGTACTATATGCATAACATAGCTGGAAAGAACTAAGATATCTTTGAAAGATACAACAAATTTAAGTAATTAGGATAGTCAAAACAACTTTAGTTTCCAGTAAGAGGCATGTGAAATAGCTAACAAGCTTTTTTGTGCTTTAGTTCAATAAGTTGCTTGGACTAGAAGAGGTGGCCCCCTTTTTATAAGGCAAAATATGTTACTTAAATTACACTTTCCTACGGGGAAAAAAGAAAAACAAACCAAAACCAACCTCAACCAAAAAAAACCCCACAAACAAACAAGAAGTACCAAAACCCACCACAAAACAAAGAAAACCTCACCAAAACAAACCACCACACAACCAAAACCAACAACTACTTCAAACCTCATCTGTTTTATTTTAAACCATTATCTTCCTAATTAGTTAATCTGTATTTGTGGTTGCATTAGATACTGAAACAGTTCAATTTGGGGTATTGTGGCAGAGCACACAGAGACCAAAAAACCCCACCTCATATCATCTTACTAACCAATCATTATAGTACAGTACTGTCTTCCCTGAATTATTGTTGCTTTGTAATCCCAGTTTATCTCAAGCTCAAAAAAAAGTAAAAATCTAAGCATGAAGGCTAGTCTACCAATATGTATCTTGAGAAATTTTAGTTGCTGTAACAGCAACAATACACCATATTAACTAGACAACAGACAAGATTCTTAAGCTATGAAATCAAAGTGTTCAGCTTCTGGAAAGCAAGAGAACTGGCACTTTAGTCTGTCAAGACATAAATGTATTAGGAAGAACAGGGGGAAGTAGATAATTAACAAGTCCATTGGACTTGTTTTAAATAGGGGGAGAGAAAAAGATGCAACATCAAAAGACTTATATTAAACAAGAGCCAATTTATTTAACATATATGAAGTTTCTTCCAATAAAGTTATATGGAATATTTTCATCTTCTATTAACTATGTGTCCAAATAAAGGATGGAAAAATGATGCTGCCAAACACAGCACAAGTAATCTTCATGTCTAACTAAACTGTTGTGATTAAATGTTCATCAATTCTGTATTATAGTAAAAAATTTAAGATGCTACAGTTCTGTACAATGATCAACCAGTCTCGCAGGTTCTACATACCCCAGATTATTTCACAGTAAAAAAAAATCTGCAAGTATTTGCACTTAAAAGGCGAATAAAGTTTACATTCTTCAAGGTAGAGTTGAAAGCAACTCAGGAAAATGGGAGACACCTAATGTAATAAATAGCAAGCAGAACTGTGAGTTCATCCTCTGCAGCAAGCCCAGAAGACAGTAGCAGCAGCTCATTTGCTAAGCAACAGATTAAGCTGCTCTTTCCAATGGTTCCCCCAATTAGTACAGAGTTCAGCTCAAGGTCTCTGTCCTCATTTCCATGACCATCTATGGGATTAGACCTAGTTACCAGCAGACTAGCTTTCCTTTTTTCCTAATTATGATGTTCTGAAATAGATATAATACCAAATGAAGAACAAAGCCTGTCAGTGAAAGAGCATTTCCCAAAGGGTGATGTAAATAGTAGGTATAATTTTTTTTTAAATACCAAGGAATGAAAAAATATCTATTATGAAGAATTTTTTTTGTAGGATAGAATAAAAATGTACAACTGACAGTCTCTGCTACATAAATCCAGCAATTCAAATATAACTCCTTTAATAAACTACTGTAATTTCAATTCTAGCATGTAACCTGAGAGATTCAAATACACAGCAAAGGAAACAGAGTAAATTGGGGAAATTTATCAACCAACCAAGTATACCACACTTGAGTTATCACTACAGTTTATTGAGAAAAATCTTTCCCTACACATTTCAGTCTAAAAAGAAAAATTCAAACCATTAAAATATTACATAGGTATAATGATATAACAAATAATACTAGTATGCATATCTTACACACTAGGCAACAAAGGAATAAAATCCACATTAAGACAGAATACACAGGTTACCTGTTGATATACGAGTTCAACAAGTTCTTGCAAAGTTTCATCTGCAGCGACCCAGCCATTCACTGTTTCAGCAAACTGCTCTATTTCAGTTTCAAAACAACCTGGTTGCTCGGCAAGGTGATTTAGGAAGTCTTGTACATATTCTGCCAAAGTCAGATAGCCATCATATTCATCTTCAAAGGAAGAATCCTATAGCAGTGAAAGAATATACCGGCTATTTAAAAGGAACCTTAAATAAAGTTGTCGCACTTAGTATCTCCAAAAGTAACCATATAGCCCTTAGCCTTGAGTAATTCCTGATGCTCTGCATACTTGATGTTGAGCTTTATTACATAGTTCACTTACACATTTTTAGCAAATATAGACCTCTGCATCAGAAAACTCCAATAGTCAAGAACTAGGTAACATGTTTTTATAGAGATTAGGGTCTCCCAGCAAAACATATCAAAAGACAGATTAAAAAGAAATCAGTTTGCCAAGTTGAGTGTAAGATTTACTGACAAAATAACAAGTATGTATACCTGTTAAGAATAAAATTACCAAACTGAGGCTCAATACCCTTTCCTGATGCACACACAAACTGTGCTTCAGCTATATGAACTGTAGAAGAAAAAATAATTAAAATTGGAAACAAAATATTTTGAGCTTACTTACAGTGTAAAAGTGCTCCAAAATATGCAGGAGGGGGAGAAATTACAAAAATACAATAGAGTGTAATGTTCCCATTTATAAAATATAGCCAGGAAAAATGATCTTCTAAAGTCAGAAAATTTGCATCTCAGCAATGGAGGAATGACTACAAGATATAAAACTATTCAAATAGTATTGCATTAGTTTGCAGTTACTGAGGTTAAAAACCAGACAGTAAACACACCTAAGTCCTAAAGAACGGAGCTAGAACAATACCACTTTATCAATGTCTATGCTCCTGTTGATGGAACAGAAAGCTGCTAATTTTGTCCATTCAAAAATGAATGTATGTAACAGTCTCTAAAGTCAATGCTGTCCTGGATAATTACAATGCTAGTATATGAAAGGAATAGCATAGGAAGCAACATACTTTGTGATGTTGTATTGGGTCTGGCTGAGCTGGAGTTCATTTCCCCACAGTAGCCCTCACAGTGCTATGCTTTGCATTGGAATCTAGAAGGGTGTTGATAATACACCAGTGTTTTGGCTACAGCATCAGTACTGTAACATTCCTTCCTCAATCGAGGGCAAGATCCTGGGAGGGGACCCAAGTAGGCCAGCTGACCCAAACTAACAAAAGAGATATTCCATGCCATATGACATCAGCTCAGATGTAAAAGCAAAGACAAGGAGCAGGAAGGCAGGCATTCATTGTCTCCAATGGATGCCTGCTGAGAGACCATTACACGTGCTGAAGCCCCGCTTCTCAGAAGTGGCTGACCATTGCTGCTCATGGGAAGTAGAGAATAAACCCCGCTATCTTTCGCTTCGCTTTTGCGCGCACAAGCTTCCACTTTACTTTTTGCTTTAAATAAACTGCCTTATCCCAACCCACAAGTTGTTTTTCCACCTTTCTCCCTGTCTGGCTGGGAAGGGGAGTGATACAGCATCTGGGTGGGCACCTGGCATCTAGCCAAGGTCAACCCACCACAGATGTAACTATTAATAATACAGTACAAATAATTCACCTTTTCACACTGTAAAAAATATTGTAAAAAGTACCTCATATGAGATCTCAGAAGTGCAAGCAGGAATCTGAAGAGGCACTGCTAAAGAACTGACTGATAATTAGTGATTCAAAACATAAGAGTAACATACAAGATATCAGAATTCTCAAATTATCTACTATTTAATGTGAAAAAGATTTGAAATATATCTACTGTAATGAAAAATTGAGCTAAAAATGATAAACCACTTTTACTGAGTGGATATAAACACATTGATAAAGTTTATAATTATATTCTCCCTCTCCCCACCATCCCTCCCTTAATGAGGGGATATCCTTTACTTTTTGTCTTCAAAATGTCTCATTCTCTCCTCTACTCTGAATCAACATGCATCTGTGAAAGATAAAAGCCCTGGATACGAATTGTGGAGAAAGATACACATTGCTGAAAATCAAGGATTGACATTAATTTCACAATCTAGGAAGAATGTGTGGGGAAAAAAATCAGATTTTTCAAAATTCTTCAAAGACCCATGTTCTAAGGGTATACAACCTAAGCTAACGAGAGACACATTAATAGAACAGAAGAAAAACTAGAAAGATTTCATATAATGTTTAATTAAATAGCGTATTTGCCTCGTGAATAATACTGAGGACAAAGTTATTGTGGCCCAGAAGAAATAGGAAAAAAAAATGGGTTTAAGGAAATGGCAGCAAATTGTTATTACTCATAAGCATAAAACCTTCAACAACCTGATCCAAGTTGATTTTGCTTTGAATTGGGGATTGGACCACCAACTTCAGAGATCCTTTCCAACCTAAATTATTCTATGATTCTAATGATTTAGAGTTTATGAAGCCAAAGGATAAAAGCTAACATGCCTCTAACTTGCTAAATATTCTATTTCTCTAAAGGAAATCAAATTTTACTGGGTAATTTCAAATAGCCCGGTAAAAGTTTTATACAACAAAGTTAAATTATTTTGGTCCACAGAATTATGACATTATTGTGCAACAACTGCAGCTTAGTCACACAGAGCAAAACTAGTATCTCTTCAAACAACCTGTTTGAAAACTCTCCAGCCAAGTTGCAGGGGATACAATTGCTGTAGCTAGTAAAAGAAGCTGCTCTTTCTGAAAGCCATTAGGTTGTTATGAGATCCTCATTTAATAGAGAGGAAGGTATATTCCTCTCATCCTCACCTGATAAAAATTCAAATTTGGAAGAAAACGTCCCTGTTCTGTAAGGGGCTCCAATCCCATTTGGTATAGTGGTGTCCCCATATTCATACTCCTGGTCCCATTTTGTAATTAAAAGGCTAACCACAGAGGCTAAACTCAGCACCACATTCATCTACCTATACTAAATATGCAACTTCAAAGGTAGTCTAGGTTTTAGTAACTATGCCAGGGAACAGAACAAATGGGAGAGAAAAAAAAAATTCAAACATTATTATATGTTGTATATTGCTAAATTAGGAACACTTGACACATAAAAAACTAATTAGATTTAGTCCAGTAACTTCTAGACATAAACCACTCGTTTCACACTGGCAGATTTTAAGCTTTAACAGAGGAGATAGCACCATGTATTCTATCAAGGGAAAGTAAAGGAAATTCCTCTTGATTATAAACAGCAGTTTGCTAACAGAAGGCTATAAGTTCACACATTCATTACAAATTTATGTTTCAAAGCCATGAAAATCAACTAGAAAATTTCCAATAATCTCAATGATTTCTCAGTCAAGCCAACATTGTCTAATCCTTCGCCTTTATGTTTGATAGCTATTAGATGGGATCCTGGATTATTCACAACAGAAACACAAGAGTCACTAACTTATAGATAACAGATTTGCCTCTCTTCTACTAAGAATCAGTTCATGAGTTTAAAGACAAAACAATAAAAAGGCTAAGTAGGTACTGAAGTCCCTGATTTACTTAAAGTTAAAACCAGAAAGTCTATGGAAAAGATCCATGAGCCAAATTTGCTTTCTCTCAGTACATGTGCGAATTAGAACTTTCCTATACCTGAAAAGTATTCACAACATCTCCACTTAGGAACTTAGTCACCAATAATTTATTATTAATCTGTGTCGTAGTTTTGCTCTGGGTCAATTTGCTCTTACACCCCACACAATTACTGTAAGTTGAGAGAAGGTTTATGCAGATAAAAGAGACTTGATTGGGGAAAAAGTAATATTAACATTTATTACTAATAAGACAAAAACTAAAGTATATTTACAATAATTTTACTGGTGAGGAAAAACCTTCAAAATTCCAAACCATCATGTTTAGCATTCAAATCAAGTATTTTCCCTTAAGTTATTCAAAATATATTTGTTTCAGTATAACTGTTTATTATCATTTGATTGTGTTTGTAATAGCAATAGTTCCCACCTACTTATATATAGTAACAGTTTGTATCCCTGCAAAACAAAAAGATATTCCAAGAATTCACATAGTTCTTTCCTAGGGTAAAATTACTGTAGCAATAATATGGAAGACAAGGAGAGTAGAAAATAACAAGTACCAACTTTATTATGTGATGTACAATATGGATCTGAGATTATCCTTAGTCTGGCTGCAAATATATTTCATGTTAGGTATGCTGCTAGGAATGAGCCCAAACCTACTTTTTTTGCCCTCTAGTGATACAGTATCCATGAAGGAATTAAAACACACATGATGGTACATGAAATTAAGTAGTCATGGAAAATCATACCCATGGCACAGTAAATTTAGGAAAGGTAAAGCCTGTGCTTAAAAAGCTAAAGTTCAAGCTTTCTCCTGCACTTGCTTCAAAACCCCATGATATCTGAATAAAAGCACAGTTAAGCTTTTAATTGGAAATGCAGTGCAGAGGTAACTATAACAGATGTAGTTGTCAAAAAGACAGCTTACTCTGATGCTGGGTGCAATCAATAAGGAATGGGGTTATCTGCAGCAAACTTCAGCAAAATACTAAAGGGTCTCACACAGCATAACATTCACTCATCACTTAACCTCCAGAGACACAGTCAGAAAGTTATCATTCAAATTTTTGAAATCTCTTCAGTAAATGCAGCATTCAAGTTATCTGATACACAAGATCACAAAAACATTGTAAAACTGAATATAAGTAAATTGGCAAATATAGAGAAGACAAACACTCACTGGAAAGTTCTGGTTATATCCTGATGGATAAAACTCAGGTGCTTTAACGGACAACTTTGATGTTATTACAGGAGCCACAGCCACCTGAGATTCAGCCATTTCCAGTCCAGAATCAGGAACTGAAACTTTCCCTTGTGATCCAGATGGAATTCTTGCCTGTTGCAGGGTGTTCTGAAAAGTTTTGATAAATAGTTTCTGTTAATGGTTTTCTTAGAAACTGCTAAATTAGTATGTATTCACACAGAGTATACAACACAGAATACATCACTTTTTGGACTTTAAATATACTTTTACTTATACTATAAATATACTTTCCTCCAAGTTCAGAAGGGATGCATCCCAATGCAGAGGAAGTCAGGAAAAATGCCAGAAGGCCTGTGCAGATGAACAAGGAGCTCCTGGACAAACTCAAACACAAAAAGGAAGCTTACAGAAGGTTGTAGCAGGGACAGGTAGTCTTGGGAGGAATACAAAGAGATGGTCTGAGGAGCCAGGGATCAGGTTAGGAGAGCCAAAGCCCTGACAGAATTAAACCTGGCCAGGGACATCAAGAGCAACAAGAAAAGCTTCTATAGGTATACTGTACCTGACAAATTTGGTGGCCTTCTATGATGGGGTTACAGCGGTGGTAGATGAGGGAAGAGCAACTGATGTCATCTACCTGGACTTGTGCAAAGTGTTTCACACTGTCCCACACAATATCCTTGTCTCTAAACTGGAGAGGCATGGATTTGATGGATGAACCACTCAGTGGATAAGGAATCAGCTAGATAGTCATGCTCAAAGAGTTGTGGTCAATGGCTCAATGTCTAAGTGGAGAGCAGTAATAAGTGGAGTCCTCAGGGGTTGGTGTTGGGACCAGCGGTATTTAACATCTTTGTCGGTGATGTGGACAGTGGGATTGAGGGCACCCTCAGCAAGTTTGCTGATGATACCAAGCTATGTGGTGCAGTCGACACGCTGGAGGGAAGGGATGGGCCATTCAGAGGGACCTGGACAGGATGGAGAGGTGGGCCAGTGCGAACCTCATGAAATTCAACAAGGCCAAATGCAAGGTCCTACACCTGGCTGGGGCAAACCCAAGCACTAATACAGGCTGGAGAATGGAACCCATTCAACGAGAGCAGCCCTGGGGAGAAAGACTTGGAGGTATCGGTTGACAAGAAGCTCACCATGCTCCAGTCATGGGGGTTGCAGCCCAGAAAGCCAACCATGTCCTGGGCTGCATTAAAAGCACTGTGGGCAGCAGGTGAGGGGAGGGATTCTGCCCCTCTGCTTTCACTCTGGTGAAACCCCACCTGCAGTGCTGCCTCCAGCTCCGGGGCCCTAAACACAAGAAAGATGTGGATCTGCTGGAACAAGTCCAGGGAGGGTCATGAAGATGATCACAGGGCAGGAGCACCTCTGCTATGGAGACGGGTTGAAAGAGTTGTGGTTGTTCAGTCTGGAGAAGAGAAGGCTCCAGAGAGACCTTGTAACAACCTTCCAGTACCTGAAGGGGGCCTACAAGTGAGCTGGACAGGAACTTTTACAAAGGCATGGAGGGACAACACAAGGGGAAATGGCTTCAAACTGAAAGAGAGTAGGTTTAGATTAGTATTAGGAAGAAATTCCTCCCTGTGAGGGTGGTGAGGCCCTGGCACAGGTTGCCCAGAGAAGCTGTGGATACCCCATCCCTGAAAGTGTTCAAGGCCAGGTTGGACTGGGCTTGGAGCAACCTGGTCTAGTGGAAGGTGTCCCTGCCCATAGCAGGGGATGGAACTAAATGGTCTTTAAGGTCCCTTCCAACCCAAACCATTCTATTATCCTATACTTCAAAAAATATATATTTAATATGGATAAAGCTTTCACTTGAGCAAACTCTAGGTACCTTTCTACATGACAGAAAGTGAACACAATCAATGTTCATGTGAAGGTGACCAAAAAAAATAAAAGGGGAAGAGCACCCTCTCTTTCCCCATGAAAACTAGTAAATCTTCTTATTATATGCTTTCTGCTTTTTGGTTTTTTCTCATAGATTTTATATGTAATGTCAAGACTTTAAAGGTCAAAAAATAGAAAACATGACTATTTTTTACATAATCCTTTAATACACTTAACTGTCATTATTTTTGTACACAATTTGCAAAAAAATCCCATGAAACAGTATTTTTTTAAACCACATTTTCCAAATCCATGTTTATAGATTAGCTCCTACATTTATTGAAAACAGAATCTGATATCTATCTGAAAAAGGTAACCAACAAACAGTGTTTTATATTAGTGTTGGGTTTATTTTTTGGTCTAACCTTTAGTCCAGAGTTAGAGAGTTCTTCAATAAGGGAAAGAATGAGAACATCTGCGGGCAGATTAACAAATGGATAAAACACTTACATACAGATATGTGGACACAGAAAGGGACGGACAGACAGAGAAACGTTGCAAGCATGTTGCAATGCCACACCGTACCTTTACTTGGGCACAGGTCCATAGCCCAAAAACATGACTGCTCATTTAAAAAAAGTGCATTTGCCAGGCAGCTCATCTCCATGCGGTGCCAAGAGGAGCTGGTCCTCAGGCTATGGTGGCCTCTAAGCCCCTAGGTACGTGGGGTGGGAGAAAGGACGTCTCCCCGTGACTAGGCCGAAGGGAGGTGTGTGGGGGAAGCCCCCAAGGCTTCACTCAGTGGAACGGTGACGGGAATGGGTGTGAGGGGTGCAGGAGTAGCAAGTAAAGCAGGAGCAGGGCAGTATGCGCAAAGAAGGGGAGCACAGCGGACTTTAGGGGAGCCCTCCTCGACACCTTCGACACCGGGGGCCTCTAGAAGGGTGGCCAGTACCTGCGTTTCCGGTGCCCAGCGGCGCTGTCTTTGGAGGTCGCAAAGGTTCCTGCTGCAGGAAGGGGCCGCCTGTTTTGTGCTGCTTTTCGACCGAGACTGAACTGTGGGAACTGCTGCCCCCAAGACAGACCCCACCTCCACGCTCCGACGCGCCCACGCCGTTAAGAGCATCTCCTCGACCCCGGCCCCGGCCAGTACCTGGAAATCGATCGAAACTATCTGACAAACTCGGGCGAGGTGGCTCAGGCGCTCACGGAAAGGAGCCAGCAACTCAGCCCCACTCCGCCGCGGCCCGAGCACTTCAGTTTCAGTTTCACCCCCACACACCCCGCCACGATGGTCGCAACCCAAAACAGCTCACAACGCCCCCTCACGACCTCTCATTACCCGACGCTATAGCAACCTTGGTGCCACCGGGACCTACCACCGCCCGCCGCCGGGAAGGGGAGGAGCACGGCCTGCTAGGAGACCGCGGATCTGTCCCATCCCCTGCCATTGCCTCCCGCAGGCGTGGGCTAGACGCGGTGTTTGTGAGTGTTGTCCTTGTTAATGAGGCCACCTCGGCTTCTAGGGGTTAAAGGCTCTCGCCCGGATATCGGGCTGCGTAGCCAACCTTACCTATTCAGAACTGATGAGTCAGCTTTCCCTTTCCCCCACAACGTGGCCTCGACTTCCAACAACAAACAAGCGTGGGGTTTGTTTGTATCAGCAGCAGGTTCTGGGACCGCGGAATCTATCTGAATCACAAAATATGCCGAGTTGGAAGGGACCCACAAGGATCATTGAGTCCAACTCCTGGCCCTGTACAGGACCATCCCAAAGAGTCAAACCATGTGGCCAAGGCTATAATCCAAATGCTTCTTGAACTCTGACAGGCTTGGTGCTGTGACCGCTGCCCTGGGGAACCTATTCCAGTGCCAAACCACCCTCTGGGGGAAGAACCTTTTTCTAATATCCAACCTAAACTTCCCCTGACACAACTTCAGGCCATTCCCTTGAGTCCTGTCACTGGTCCCCACAGAGAAGAGATCAGTGCCTGCCCCTCCTCTTCCCCTCCTGAGGAAGTTGTAGACTGTAATGAGGTCTCCCCTCCGTCTCCTCTTCTCCAGCTGAACAGACCAAGTGCCCTCAGCTGCTCCTCATATGGCTTCCCCTCAAGGCCCTTTTGATGCAGCCCAGGATGCAATTGGCCTTCTAGTCTGCGAGTACACCCTGTTGGCTCATATCCAGTTTTTCATCCACCAGAACCCCCAAGTTCTTCTCCACAGGGCTGCTTTTAATGTCTGGGATTGCCCTGACCCCGGTGCAGCACCTTGCACTTGGACTTGTTGAACTTCATGAGCTTCTCCTGGGCCCACTTCTCAAGCTTGTCCAGGTCTGTTCTGTCACCTGCACAGTTCAACTTGGTGTCATCTGCAAACTTGCTGAGGGTGTGTTCGATCTCACTATGTCATTGATGAAGATATTGAAGAACTCCGGTCCCAAGACAGATCCCTGAAAGACATCCCTCGTCACTGGCCTCCACCTTCAAGACTCATGTTCAGTCCCCCTCCCCCCCAGTTCACTTCCTAGTGAAGGACTGGTTGTGGATGCATGAACAAAACAACACAAAAGATCTAGTTTACATAAGAGGCTGCAACAGGTGAACTGTAAAAGGAAGATATTACAATCTGCTTAAATGTTACAGAAAGAAGGGTTGTTATTTTTTCCTTTTTCCACACTTTCTCGATTGGAGCCTCTTAATTTCGGATTTACAATTGCTTAGAGGGAGGAGTTTGGGTCTTCCTTCATAGCTCATCCTCAGCAAAACACTTGTGTCTCATTATACTGAGACATTTTTGGGACCCAATGTGGGCCTCAAGAGAAGAAAAGTGGAAAAGGAATAACTGCCCTTGTGTGATTTGTAAGTGGTTTTGAACCTGTAGGCACCGTGAGGTTTGGGGTCATTGCTTTCCTCTGGCATATAACCATGCCAAGATATCTGTCCCACCTGTTGATGCATTTCAGCTTGGATATTAAGACCCTCTTTGCAATAAGTACCTTTGAGTTTTTGGATTGGGTTTATGACACGGCAAACTCAGTGTCGTGGTTTTAGCTAACTCTCATAAGCCAAGTGAAGAATTTTCTCCCTTCCCCCCTGGTTATCAAGATAAGCACTTCAGAGTACAAAAGACCTAACCTCATGGCTAATGACCAGACATTAGTTTCCTAGGAAACAAGGCAGATAAGGACTTGCACTTTACTTTTTTCTCTTGTCTCCTGGGCAACAAAGTGGGAGGAGTTGGGGGGAGGCTACGGTGTGGGGGCTGGGGCTGGGATGGCGGGACACATCGTAGTCAGAGAAGCTCCTACTGTCTCTTTTTGCCCTGTGCCATTGCCAGCTGCAGGTTTTTTTTTGCCTGAGGTGGATTCTAATTAGTTGGAAATTGTGAGTTTTCTTCCATTGGGAGAACTTTCTGTTTTATTGGGTTTTTTTTCCTTCCCCCTTCCCCCCCCATTCCCTCTCTCCTTTCCCAGTGTGAGAAGGGAAGGGGAACCGAGTTTTTTTTTGGTTTTTGGTTTGGATTTTTTTTTTTTCCCTCCCTCTGACATGCCTGGAGAGTATTGTTTTTTTTTTTTCCCCATCCCATGGGGCGGTGACTAGGGATTCCACAGCGCCGCCTGGTGCCGGGCACTGGACATTAAAAAGTTCTGCTCCTCCAGTGATCCAACAGCGCCACCTGGTGACTACAATCGGACATTACAAATTTTGCATCTCCAGTGACTTGATGGCACCCCCTGCTGACTGTGGTTGGAACTGCATCAAAGGGTGCAAAAATTGAACTCTTTAATTTTCCTTTTACCTGTTTATCGGTTTTGTTCTTGAAGGGAATTATTGGTGGGTATAGGAGTATTGCTTGGTTGTTTTACTTGTGTTTTTTCGTGTTCCTGTTAATACACACATACCTTTAAATAAAGGGTTGTTATTTTCCCTTTTCCATAATTTGTTTTCCTTCAATCGGAGCCTCTTAATTTTGGATTTATAATTGCTTAGAAAGAGAAGTCTGGGTCTTTTCCTCCTAATCCATCCTCAGCAAAAGACCTTTGTCTCATTTAAACTGAGACACTCAGCACCTGTGATTTTCGTCCAGGATATGTCCTCAAGGATACACTACTGCTCTAGCCTACACTATGTCCTCTGGGGGTTTAAGGATAATGGCACCCATCCCTATGGAGAAATGCAGGGGGGTATATTTGCCCAACCCTTCATCCATTTTCCCTTTGGATCCAATACAATGGCCTCTGGGAAGTTTAAATTCTTCCTAGATGTCGGAGACATTTTACTTTTTGGGCTTTTCGTGCAAGTTTGTGCCATTATGGTATACCTAATATATGAAACTAGGGACAAGAATTATCGAGAACATGCCCAGAAGCCTGCCCCAGGGGTGAAAAACCTCGAATGGCATGGGTTATGGGAGGATATGGGTAAATTCCTAGAAAGTTGTTCAGCTCCTACAACATGGAGGCTCACTCTAGAACAACTCCAAAACCCTACAAAGATAATGAAAGCCATGAGGGAGAGAGGTTGTGATAGACCCATGGAGAGGCAGCTGGCAGTTGCAAGTAGGGGTTTGGCCTTTGCCTACCGGAAGCTGCACTTCCAGGGAACAGGAAAAGACAAAAACAAGATGCCTGATATCAGGGTGACTCCAGATAAGGCCAATTCCAAGAGACAGAACATGTCAATGGAATTTGCCCCTATCCAAAAGAGGAAATATAAGACCAAATCAACCCACCCACTTGATGATGACAGGGAGGTAGGACCCTCATAGGCAGTTAGCCCAAAGTCAGAAATCATCACTGAGTCCTTATCGTATAACAACCTCCAGAGTTTATGGGCGGACGTTATTCGTCATCCAAATTAGCTGATACTGGCCTGGATGGTCTGAGTTTAGGACTCCACGGGTGATGCCATAAACCTTGAGGATGGTGAAGCAAGGTTCTTGAGGTCTATTGCCCAGGATGTGGGCATTGAGGAGGTGTTTGTAAGAGAATCAAAGCCCCTGTCTCTCTGGGCATGACTGCTTGACAGTGTGAGGAAGAGGTTCATTTACAGAGATTCCTTGCAGGCACACCCTTATGCAAAGGGCTGGAATACCATGGAGGAGGGGATCCTATGCCTGAGGGAAATGGCACTGTTGGAGGTATTGTTTGGAAGGGATGGGCAACCCACCAACGATCCTGACAAGGTTAAATGTACACCACAGATGTGGTGGAGCTTCACACGTATGGGGTCATCTGCACACATCAGTTACCTGACATCATTTCAGACTGGGGAGAAGCAAGAACCAGTGGTGTCTATAACAAACTTTGGTTGTATAACAGTATGATCCAAGGACCATTACAAGCCTGCATTTCCACTGTAGAGACATTGCTAAATGACCTCAAGACCCAAACTACAGAAATGAAAGATAAACAGGAGAAAGTGAGAGGATTGAGAGAAACAGTTCCCATAAGGTACCAGTGAGAATCAGATGCCCCCCAACTAGAGAGGGTAGACAGACCTGAGTTGTGGTATTTCCTATCTGACCATGGAGAAGACATGGGACAGTGGGACAGGAAACCTACCCATGCCCTGGCAACCTGAATAAAAGGGTTGAAAGAGAGCAAAAAAGGAAAGTCTGTGAAAGTGAGTGCAGTACCGGTATCCCGTGGGCAGGGATCTGACCTGCTAGAAGGTACCTCCTGCCAGTATTCACAGACGGAAAACTGTGACAAGCAGGACTAAGACCACTATTAGAGGGCTCCTGTTTCTAGCCAGGTAGAGGCACTGGACAACCGTGTCTATTGGACGGTGTGGATCCAATGGCCTGGCATGTCAGACCCTGAGGAATACTGGGCTTTGGTTGACACTGGCACTCAGTGCATGTTAATGCCCTCAGGACATGTGGGACCAGAGTATATCCATTTCTGGGATGACAGGAGGATCTCAAGAGTTGACCATGTTGGAAGCTGAAGTGAACTTGACCAGGAAGGAGTGGTAGAAACACCCCATTGTGACTGGTCCAGATGCCCCATGTATCCTGGGCATTGACTACGTTAGGAAGGGGTATTTCAAAGACCCCAAGGGACATAGATGGGTTTTTGGAATAGCTACTGTGGAGATAAAGGCGGTTAAGCAGTTGAATTCGTTACCAGGCCTCTCGGAGAACCCTTCTGCTGTGGGATTGTTGAAGGTTGAGGAACAGCGAGTGCCAATTACCACTACAATAGTGCACCATCGGCAGTACCGAACAAACAGAGACTCTGTGATCCCCATCCATAAGATGATCCGTGAGCTGGAGGGTCAAGGACTGATCAGCAAAATCCACTCCCCCTTCAACAGCCCTATCTGACCTGTGTGTAAGTCTGACGGAGAATGGAGATTGACTGTGAACTATCGTGGCCTGAATGAAGCCACCCCGCAGCTGAGTGCCGCTGTGCCGGACATGTTGGAGCTCCAGTACGAGCTGGAGTCTAAGGCAGTGAGGTGGTATGCCACTACTGACATTGCAAATGCATTCTTCTCCATTCACTTGGTAGCAGAGTGCAGGCCTCAGTTTGCTTTCATGTGGAGGGGCGTGCAGTACACGTGGAACTGACTGCCCCAGAGGTGGAAACACAGTCCCACCACCTGCAAGGATTGATCCAGGCTACACTAGAGAAAGGGTGAAGCCCCAGAACACCTGCAGTACATTGATGACATCATCATATGGGGGGACACAGCAGAAGAGGTTTCTGAGAAAGGAAAGAAGTTCATCCAGATTCTCCTGGGACCTGGGTTTGCCATCAAAAAGAGTACGGTCAAGGGACCTGCCTGAGAGATCCAGCTCCTGGGAGTAAAGTGGCAAGATGGACGTCAACAGATCCCAACTGAAGTCATTGATAAGATCACAACAATGGCCTCACCCACCAGCAAGAAGAAAACACAAGCTTTTCTGAGTCCCATAGGTTTTTGGAGGATGCATATCCCCGAGTACAGCCAAATCGTAAACCCTCTCTATCTGGTAACCTGCAAGAAGAATGTTTTCCATTGGGGTCCTGAACAACAGCAAGCATTTGAACAGATTAAACAGGAGATTGCCCATGCTGTAGCCCTTGGACCAGTCATGACAGGACCATGTGAAGAATGTACTCTACTATGCAGCTGGGGATAAAGGCCTTTCCTGGAGCCTCTGGCAGAAGGTGCCTGGCAAGACCTGAGGCTGCCCACTTGTATTCTGGAGCTGAAGCTACAGAGGGCCGGAAGCCAAATACGCTCCAACAGAAAAGGAGATCCTAGCAGCTTATGAAGGAGTACAAGTTGCCTCAGAGGTGATTGCCACAGAAGAACAGCTCCTCCTGGCACCTCAACTACAGGTGTTGAGTTGGATGTTAAAAGGGAAGACACCCTCTACGCATCATGCCTCTGACGCTACATGGAGTAAATGGATCACCCTGATCACGCAGCACGCCCTCATTGGAAATCCAAATCACTCTGGGATCCTAGATATCATCACAAACTGGCCGGCGGGTGAGAATTTTATTCTAGCAGATGAAGAAGGGGAGCAGGTGGTACAAGTTGAGGAAGGCCCAGCATACAATCAACTATCAGAAGAATAAATACGCTATGCACTCTTTATTGATGGTTCCTGTTGCACTGTAGGGATGAAATGTAAATGGAAAGCAGCTGTATGGAGCCCCACAAAACAAGTTGCAGAAGCTAAGGAAGGAGAAGGTGAATCGAGCCAATTCGCAGAGCTCAAAGATGTCTAGTTGGCGTTGGACATTTCTGAACGAGAGAAGTGGTCAAAGCCTTACCTCTACGTGGATTCGTGGATGGTGACCAATGCTCTGGTGGTTGGACAGATGGAAGAAGGTCAATTGGAAACTTAGAGGGAAACCCATCTGGGCCGTTGATATATGGCAAGACATTGCTACCTGGGTAGAGAAGTTGATTGTGAGAGTCCATCACATAGATGCCCATATGCCCAAAAATCAAACCAGTGAAGAGCATCGCAACAATGAACAGGTAGACCGAGCTGCACAAGTCGAGGTGTCACAGGTGGATCTGGACTGGCAGCACAAAGGAGAGTTGGTCTTAGCACAATGGGTCCAGGATGCCTCCGACCATCATGGCAGAGATGCCACCTACAGATGGGCATGAGATCGAGGGGTGTATGTAACCATGGACACTATTTCTCAGGTTATCCATGACTGTTAGACATGCGCTGCCATTAAACAGGCTAAGAGACTGAAGCCCCTGTGGTATGGTGGACATTGGAGTAAATACAGATATGGGGAGGCTTGACAGGTTGATTACATCACAATGCCACAGACCCATCAAGGTAAGCGCTATGTGCTCACCATGGTGGAAGCCACCACCGGATGACTGGACATGCATCCGGTGCCCAACGCCACCGCCAGAAATACCGTCCTGGGACTTGAAAAACATGTCCTGTGGCGACATGGCACCCCAGAGCGAATTGAGTCAGATAATGGGACACACTTCAAGAATAGTTTAGTTACCACCTGGGTGAAGGAGCATGGCATTGAGTGGGTGTATCACATCCCATACCATGCAACAGCTGCCGGGAAGGTTGAACAGTGTAATGGACTGTTGAAGACTACCCTGAAGGCATTGGGTGGAGGGACTTTCAAACACTGGGATCAGCACCTAGCAAAGGCTACATGGTTAGTCAACACTAGAGGTTCCGTCAATTGAGCTGGCCCTGCCCAATCAGAGTCCCTTCACACTTTAGCTGTAGACAAAGTCCCAGTGATTCACATGAGGGGTATGTTAGGTAAAACAGTTTGGGTTAACCCTGCCTCAAGCAAAGGCAAATCCATTCATGGCTTTGTTTTTGCCCAAGGACCCGGTTGCACATGGTGGGGGATGCAGGAAGATGGAGAAACCCGGTGCATACCTCAAGGGAATATTATCTTCGGGTGAACAGACCATAACTCTGTATCTGTATCTGTACCTACATATTTGTGAATGTGTATATAGTTTAGAATAATGCATATATGTATGGAGTTCAAAAAGTTAATTTGATAGAGTGTGGTGGCATGGGAAAGGAAAAATTAGGGGTGGATAATGTCATAATTTTGCTTGTTCTGGGAAACTAAGCAGGAATTTTCCCTTCCCCCTTCCCACTATGTGAAAGGGATGTTCAATGGGCAGGTTGACTGTGCCTTGGACAATGGACTAACACAAAAGAAGTGGTTGGCAGAGCCACATTCCAAGTTGATGTCCCTCAAGAGTCTTTGGGGAGGGGTGAGGAGTGTTCTTTACTTTTTTTTCTTCTCCTGGGAAATGGCACGGACTTCATTGTTACCTGAGTTGGGACAAGGTCTGGGTGGCAGGAGCTTCGAGGTAGTTTTATTCTCAGACTGGCTGCCCGGCTAGCTCAGTTTTACCCAGTCCAGATCCTGCTTGGATTTTCATTGGAGAGGAACTATGTGGGAAGGAGGTCACCTCCTTCCCCTCCTCTGTTCCCATTTTTTTTTTTTTTTTTTTTTGGCAGTGGTTCTTGTGCTCATCGAAGGAGAGGGGAAGCCATGCCACGTGTTCTAGCCGCAGAGAGTGAGTTTCAGTTGGGAAGAACTTTTCCTCCTTTTTCCCCTTTCCTGCTGATGGGGAGGGAAGACTTCCATTTTTGGCTTCTCCAGTACACCTGGGGGCCCTCCCCTCCACGTGGCTACTACCAGGGATCCAACAGTGCCCCCTGCTGACTTTGGCACAGAACACTGCAGGTTCTGCATTTCCAGTTATACAACAGCACCCCCTGCTGACTAGTTAGAATTGCACCAAATAACACAAATGGAACTGTTTACTTTTTTTTTTTGTTTTTTTGAAGGGGATTATTTTTGGGTATAGGAGTATTGCTTGGTTTTATTTGTGGTTTTTTGTTGTTCTGCCAATACACATATATCTTTTAATAAAGGGCTGGGTTTTTTTCCTTTTTCCACACTTTCTCAATTGGAGCCTCTTAATTTCGGATTTACAATTGCTTAGAGGGAGGAGTTTGGGTCTTCCTCATAACTCATCCTCGGCAAAACACTTGTGTCTCATTAAACTGAGACAACTTGTAAATCTTGCCAATCTGGATTATGAATTTTAATTATTATTTTAAAGGATCCATACATTTTCGGATTTTTTCAGTACAACCCAGCAGACTCCTTCCAATGCATCACATCAGTGGTTGAAAAAGGAACCTTTATATATACAGGCTCTCTATCTGGTCCCACAGCCTGTAACAAGGGGGCCTGTAACAGTTTTGGTGTGCTCGAGTTCTACCTGCAACTGGACCAAATGTTGCACCTTCTCCAGCCCTCCCATCAATACTTTCCTGGTCCCTGCCATCAATATCCTGATCCCTTCTCAAAGAAATCAACAATTACACATCCTCTTGCTCATTATCTGGTTTCAGATATCTTTTCCCAATACTACAAGCAGAACAGCACCGAGATAATTTCTTTTTCTCTTTCATCATCATTAACACATTTGAATCAGACACCAATAATCTGCAATTCTTTCTTGTTTCATGATCATTTTTTAACAAGAAAAATAAATCCTCATATGGGACTTCATCCCACTTATCCCATCTTCTGCAAAACAACCTAAGTTCCAACATGGTATTATAATTTAATGCTCCCATTTCTGGTCATACTTCCTCATCATCCAATTGATATTTTGGCCTTCTCTGATGATGATAGCATGAAATTTTTGCCTTTGGGACAATTTGTGATGACTTCCAAGATCCCAGGGAGATTGGGGTTTCCTATTTGAGTTTGCTGTGTGATTAGAGCGATCCACTTACTCCATGTGGCATCAGTGGCACGATGTTTAGAAGGAACTTTGAACATTCAGCCCAGTTCTGGCACTTGGGGTGCCAGGAGGAGCTATGTTTTGGTGCAAATCACTTCTGAAGCAGCTCAAACCCCTTCATAAGCTCTCCAGTTCACAAATCATCTCATGGATGGAGATCACAGAGTCCCAGTTCGTGCGGTATTGTTGAGGGTGCACTGTTTTGGTAGCGATTGGTACCCGCCGGGAAGGGGAGGAGTACAGTCTACTAGGAGGCTGCGGATCTGTCCCACCCCCTGCCATTGCCTCCCACAGGCGTGGGCTAGACGCGGTGTTTGTGAGTGTTGTCCTTGTTAATGAGGCCACCTCGGCTTCTAGGGGTTAAAGGCTCTCGCCCGGATATCGGGCTGCGTAGCCAACCTTACCTATTCAGAACTGATGAGTCAGCTTTCCCTTTCCCCCACAACGTGGCCTCGACTTCCAACAACAAACAAGCGTGGGGTTTGTTTGTATCAGCAGCAGGTTCTGGGACCGCGGAATCTATCTGAATCACAAAATATGCCGAGTTGGAAGGGACCCACAAGGATCATTGAGTCCAACTCCTGGCCCTGTACAGGACCATCCCAAAGAGTCAAACCATGTGGCCAAGACTATAATCCAAATGCTTCTTGAACTCTGACAGGCTTGGTGCTGTGACCGCTGCCCTGGGGAACCTATTCCAGTGCCAAACCACCCTCTGGGGGAAGAACCTTTTTCTAATATCCAACCTAAACTTCCCCTGACACAACTTCAGGCCATTCCCTTGAGTCCTGTCACTGGTCCCCACAGAGAAGAGATCAGTGCCTGCCCCTCCTCTTCCCCTCCTGAGGAAGTTGTAGACTGTAATGAGGTCTCCCCTCCGTCTCCTCTTCTCCAGCTGAACAGACCAAGTGCCCTCAGCTGCTCCTCATATGGCTTCCCCTCAAGACCCTTAAAATCCTTGTGGCCTCCTTTGGACACTCTCTAATAGTTTAATATCTTTCTTTTATTGTGGTGACCAAAACTGCCACAGTATTCAAGGTGAGGCCGCTCCAGTGCAGAGCAGAGGGGGACAACCCTCCTCGACCAGCTGGTGATGCTGTGCCTGATGCCCCCCAGGACATGGTTGGCCCTCCTGACTGCCAGGGCACTGCTGACTCATGTCCAACTGACCATCAACCAGGACCCCCAGGTCCCTTTCCGTGGCACTGCTTTCCAACATCTCATTCCCCAGTCTGTCCAAACATCCAGGGTTGCCCCATCCCAGCTGCAGAATCTTGAACTTGCCCTTGTTGAACTTCATATGGTTGGTGATTGCCCAGCCCTCTAATTTGTCAAGGTCTCTCTACAGGGTCTCCCTACCTTTGAGGGAGCCAATAGCTTCTCCCAGTTTTGTGTCATCTGCAAACTTGCTTAGTATACCTTCCAGTCCTGCGTCCAAGTAATTTATGAAGATGTTGAAGAGCACAGGGCCTAAGATGGATGCCTGCGGAACCCCACTAGTGATGAGTCACCAGTCTGATGTTACCCCCTTCACTATTACCCTTTGTGCTTGACCCATCACACCTTCCTCAGAAATCAGAAAAGATTGGAAACAACATTTTCAAAAAGACAATATTCTCTTGTAATTGCTTCCCTACAGGAACTAGTGGCATGCTGTAACCATAACATGACCAAGATTGCAGCTGCACATTGTAGGAAACTGTCATAGTTCCGATTTTAGCAAGGAATTTTTCTTTGCCTTAACCCTGCCGTGTGTGCCCTGTGTATAGGTCATTAGGTAGCTATCAGGTGAACAAAAGAATTGGCCGGTCCACTAATGGTTGAGAGATCAGTCTCCTAGGAAACAGGCAGATGAAGGATCTAAAGTCTACTTTTTTCTCTCGTCTCCTGGGCAACAGGGGGGAGGAATTTTGGTGGGCTGGGGGTGTGGCTGGCACACAGGTTGGGAGGAGAGCCTGGTGTGCCAGTGGGCTTGGGACCTGCTGTGAGCTGCAGATGCTGCCTGGTTTTCTTTTCCTGTCGGAGGGGAGTTTGCTGCTGTTCTCTGCTCAGTTGTTGCTGGCTGCAGGCTCTGCTTAAAGCGAACTCTAACCAGCTGAAGATCGTGAGTTTTCTTCCATTGGGAGAACTTTCTGTTTGATTGCTGTTTTCCCTTCCTTTCCCTTCCCTCCCCCCCCACGCCCCACTCCCTCTCTCCTGTCCCAGTGTGGGAAGGGAAACCAAGGGGTTGTTTTTGTTGTTGTTTTGTTGTTGTTTTTTTACTGGACATTACAAGTTTTGCACCTCCAGTGATCCAACAGCGCCACCTGGTGGTTACTATAGGACACTACAAGTTCTGCATCTTCAGTGACCCAACAGCGCCACCTGGTGAATGATACAGGACATTACAAGTTTTGCATCTCTAGTGACCCAACAGCACCTCCTATTGACTGCGGTTGGAATTGCATCAAGGGGTGCAAAAATTGAACTGTTTACTCTTCCTTTTGTTGGTTTATTGGTTTGTTCTTGAAGGGGATTATTGGTGGGTATAAGAGTATTGCTTGGTTGTTTTACTTGGTTTTTTTTCTGTGTTTCTGTTAATACACACATACCTTTTAATAAAGGGCTGTTATTTTCCCTTTTCCATAATTTGTTTTCCT